GCCCCGGCCCCCGCCCCAGGCGAGCCCCGCCCGCCCCGGTGAGCCCCGCCCCCCGGGCCAACCCAGAGCGCGCTCTTCCCAGCCAGACTCCGCCCCCAGGCCTCGGGATTGGCCAGGCGCTTCAGGGAAGCCCCGCCCCCAGGCCTGGGATTGGCCGCGTCCCTGCTCGGGTTCGCCCGACCCAACGTGGGCATCTCTCTTGCGGCGGGGGCGGAGCCGGCGCGGCCCGCGGCCTCAGCGCTCCCCGCCTCCGCAGGATGCGGGCTCCGCGTGCGGGCGCGGCCTCCGCCGCCTCGCTGGCGCTGCTGTGGCTGCTGGGGCTGCCGTGGAGCTGGAGCGCGGCGGCGGCGCTCTGCGTGTACGTGGGCAGCGGCGGCTGGCGCTTCCTGCGCATCGTCTGCAAGACGGCGAGGCGGGACCTCTTGTGAGTGGGGCCGGGGGACCCGGGGCTCGGAGGGCCGGGGCATCCGGGCGGGGACGAGCGGGGGCTCCGGGCGGAGCGGGGTGGGTTCCGAGGTGCTTGGGGCTTTGGAGGCTGCCCGGGAGAGCGCAGGGGCCCTGCGGGGCCGCTTGGGGTCTTTGGGCAGCTGGTGGGAGTTCCGGGGAGCTGCGGCCTCCAGCTGTCCCCTCCCCTCTGCCTGGGACACACCGCACCCCTTTCTGCCTGGGGGTGCTGTATGACACCCCCATACGGGAAACTGCTGGATTTTCCTGCTCAGCGCCGCCTCCTGAGCCTCGTGGCCCTTAGCCCACACACCTGAGCATGGCCCACCATGAGGTCCCTGACCACGTCCCCATCCTCCACTGTCTTCCCCCCGTGTCACTCCTCCAGCTACACCTACCTCTTTGCCCTTCCTTAACTTCGTTCCAGCCCCAGGGCCTTTGCACCTGCTGTCCCCTCTGCCTAGGTTGCTGCTTTCAGCCAGAGCCACCCCGTGTCTGGCAGAATGGCCAGCAGTTTCTGAGTGTTCCCACCGTACTGGGGGCCAAGTTCGGCATTTTGCAGGCATGACCTTATGTACAAAGCTAGGGGTTTGAGAGACGCTCTGGGGCCGTGGCGACTGCAGGAGGCCTCTGTGGGCTCTGCATGCACTAGGGTGCTGGGGCTCGCAGGGGCGACCCGGTGGCCTCAGGGGGCTGCCAAGGCACTCGGGTCTGTTTAGGGCTTGCTCTGAGGGACAAGGGGGCTGCCCGGGGAGTCTGCAAAGGACTCTCGGGCCTCCGAAGGCTGCGTGTCCCCTTGGGTCGGCTGACGGATTTCCGCGTGGCTGGGGCACCCGCTTCAAGAGTTTGGGGTGTGTGTGTGGGGACACTGGGGTTCAGGGAGGTTGCTGTGTATTCCAGGATGTGTTTGAGGGTGTCTGGAGACTGGCTTTCCGGGAGGGGACAGATTCCGGTGTCATATGGGGGGATCCTTGGAGGCTCTCTGGGGTGTGTCTGAGGGGCTGGCTAAGAGGAGCTGTGGGGTCCTTCTGGGGTGACATAGGTGACGCAGGGGGTTCAGAGCAGATGTCAGGAGTAGCCCCCTGTGGGAGCAGGTGGCACCCGCCCTGAGCCAGTCCGGGCTGGGCACCTTCACAGCTCTTGCGGGGAGGTGGCGGGGCTGAACCCCTGCCAAGGCTGAAGGGACAGGGGTGTGGAGCTGGGAAGGGCCCCACTGCTAGTCGATTGGTCTGGAACTTTTTTTTTTTTTGAGACAGAGTCTTGCTTTGTTGCCCAGGCTAGAGTGAGTGCCGTGGCGTCAGCCTAGCTCACAGCAGCCTCAGACTCCTGGGCTCAAGCGATCCTCCTGCCTCAGCCTCCCGAGTAGCTGGGACTACAGGCATGTGCCACCATGCCCAGGTCATTTTTTCTGTATATATTAGATGGCCAATTAATTTTCTTTCTATTTATAGTAGAGACGGGTCTCGTTCTTGCTCAGGCTGGTCTCGAACTCCTGACTTCGAGCGATCCTCCCGCCTTGGCCTCCCAGAATGCTAGGATTACAGGCCTGAGCCACTGTGTCCAGCTGCACCTGCTGTCTTGTCCCCTCTGCCAAGGTGGCTGCTTCCCCGCTCGTCCCTTTCAGCCAGAGCCACCTGGTGTCTGGCAGAATGGCCAGCAGTTTCCGAGTGTTCCCGCCGTGCCGGGGGCCGGCCGTGCTCGGCATTTTGCAGGCATGACCTTATGTACAATGCCCTCTTACCACCCCGTGGGGTGGGCACTGTCCTGTCCCCGTCTTACTGATGAGCACACTGAGGCACAGTGTGGCCGTACAACTCGTCCCCGGTCACACAAGCGGTGGGAACGGGATTGCAAGCCGAGCGGTGTGGCCGCCCCCCACTGGCCCTGTGTGTCATTTGTAATTATTTTATCTGCCCGAGTTCCCGCTTGTTAGTTCTCGGGCCTCTTTTCCCCTGCCAGACCGCGGGGGTGTGGACGGAGAGCGTGTTGGGGTTGGTGCCACTCTGGCCCTGCCCCCGGCCCGGGGCTGGCACCCGGCAGGAGCACGGGACATGTTTGCCAAGTGCAGGGACTTCCCCTCCTTCCTGGGCACACCCAGGCTGTGCCTCCTTCCTCCCCAGTTTTGCCCCTGCCAGAACCCAGGAACCCCCGTGCCCGGTTGTGCCTCCCCTGGGGGACAGGGCAGGGTCTGGGGCCACTCTGCGTCCCCGGCTTGGCTCGACACACTTGTATATGGGGGCAGCCTCGAAGATGGCCCTGGGGGCGCCTGCCTCCTGCCTCGGGGTCGTCCTCCCCTCTGGGTGTGGCCGGCCCCGGTGGCTCCGGCCGGCGAGTGGAATACCACGGAAGGGATGGGACGGCAGTCGTGACGTTATTGGAGAAAGACTGTGGCTTCTCTCGTGGGCGCTGTGTCTTGGGTCACTTGCCCCATGTCCTGGGGCAGCCCTGTGGAAAGGCCCACCTGGGGGACCTCGGAAGTGGATTTTTCCCTGGTAAAAAGCCTCGAAATGACCGAAGCCCCGGCTTACCTGACCCCGAGCCAGGATCACCCAGCTAAGCCACCCCAAGACCTTTCGTTTTTTTTAAGACAGAGTCTCGCTCTGTCGCCCGGGTTAGGGTGAGTGCCATGGCGTCAGCCTCGCTCACAGCAACCTCAGACTCCTGGGCTCAAGCGATCCTCCCGCCTCAGTCTCCCGAGTAGCTGAGTCTACAGGCATGCGCCACCATGCCCGGCTCATTTTTCTGTTATATTTTTTTGGAGACGGGGGTCTCACTCTTGCCCAGGCTGGTCTCGAACTCCCGACCTCAAGTAAGCCTCCCTGCTCGGCCTCCTAGAGTGCTAAGATTACAGGCATGAGCCACCGTGCCCGGCCCACTCCCAGATATTTGACCCGTAGAAACCGTGAGATGATAGCACTCTGGGAGGCTGAGGCGGGAGGATCGCTCAAGGTCAGGAGTTCTAGACCAGCCTGAGCAACAATGAGACCCCCGTCGCTACTAAAAAATAGACAGAAATTAATTGGCCAACTAAAAATATATATATATAAAAAAAAATGAGCCGGGGGTGGTGGTGCATGCCTGTAGTCCCAGCTACTCGGGAGGCTGAGGCAGGAGGATCGCTTGAGCCCAGGAGTTGGAGGCTGCTGTGAGCGAGGCGCCCACCTCCAAGCTCCTGCCGTCCCATCCCTGCTGTGTCGTCTTCTCCCACAGCGGCTTGGCCGCTCGTGCCCTTACGAACGAACGCTGAGTGCCGGTGCGTCCATCTCACGGCCTGCCCCCGGCTCCGGGCAGATGGGACACAGGCTGTCACGCTCCGGCCCAGGGAGACAGCAGCGGAGGGGACAGCGCCAGGGTCCGCGCCCATGGGGAACACCCAGAGCGCCTGCCACAAATAACGCCGGCCGGACCCCCTGGGGAGAGGGCGCAACCCCGGGGCTCCCAGGGTCCCACCTGGATTCGCGCAGCCCCGGAGGGAGGGAGGAGGGAGGCCCAGCGCCCCCGCGCCAGGTTTTGCTAAGCCCGGTCCTCCGCAGGGGTGGGTCTAGGGCAAGCCCGCTCTGCCGAGGGGGCCGGGCGGCGGGGACACCAGGGGGGCAAAAGCCCCGGGGCCCCTCCAGGCGGCCTTGGGGGGCCCCTCAGGCCCTGCCCTCCTGCTCTGCAGCTTCGCGCAGCCCTTGGCAAGGTGAAACGGCGACCGCAGCCTGAGGCGTCCCATGACAGCAAATAGCGCCGGCGCCCGGCCCCTCCGCAAGCCCAGAAGGCTAGAAGACAATGCACCCCGACGGGACATGCAGCCCACATAAAAGAACCTTCCAGAAAGGCCCCGAAAGCCCAGAGACTGCGGTGGCTCGAAGCTCCCATAGTGCTCAGCTACCTCCCCGGAGGACCCTGAGCGGGGAGGCATGCGGCCCTTGAGCCCTGGGAGTTTAGAGCGCAGCCCCCGGCAACCACAGGGGAGAACTTCTCCCTTTGGAAAAAAAAAAAGTCCAATGGGCCGCCGGTTGCTCTCCGCCTGTCCCCGTCCGGAACTTGGAGGCTCCCAGGCAGGAAGATCGCTCCGGTCGGGAGTTCGACAACCCGCCAGCCCTGAGCAAGAGCGAGACCCCCGTCTCTACTAAAACCACCCCAGAAAGAAATAATTAGGCCCAACTAAAAATATAATACGACAACAATCCAGCCCGGGCGTGGTGGCACGTGCCTGTAGTCCCAGGCTACCTCGGCGAGGGCTGAGGGCAGGAAAGGATCGCTTGAGCCGCCAGGAGTCTGAGGTTGCTGTGAGCGAGGCCTGAGCACCACGCAGTACTTCACTCTAGCCCGGGCCAACACAGCGACGACCTCGCTTGTCTCAAAAAAAAAAAAGAAACCTAATTCTCTTGTTTGAGCCAACCCGGTATGGCGAGCCTTTGCCTGTGGCCGCGAGCTGCCCGGAGTCCAGCGTTTCCCGGAGCGTGTCCCTACAAGGGCGGTCCAAAGTCAGAGGCCTTTTATTCACCAAAGAAGAGAAACGGTCCCAGAACTCCATATCAGCCTAATAACACGAAGCCTCAAAACCAATAGAAAGTTTACAGGCAGCGGCCCCTGCAGGCATCGTTGAGTTGATCTTTTGCGTTGGGTCTGTCCCCAGCTGGGTTTCCAGCGCCGCGTAGCCCGTGGTGTTTCCTGCCACAGGCCCACTTTGTCCTGAATTTTATTTCCATCCCATTAGCAAGCCGGGCGGGGCGGGCATCGCGGCCGCGCCATATTTGGGGGCTGTTACCCCGCCCGGCGTTGGTGCCTGAGGCTGCTGAGCAACCTCGCCACCGGCTCAGCAGGCCCGTCGACGGCCCCCACCTAGAGTACCAAACAACGCCCCAGAGAGGGCAGTCGGAGGGGCTCCAAGACACGGCCGCCCAAGGGCCCGGGGGAGGGACAGGCCCCCCTGCTCCCCCGTTCACCGGCCCAGGGCCAAGGCAAGCACGTGCCTGCCCCTGCTTCAGAACC